TGCCTCCAAGAAGCCTTCCCCCCTCCCCCTACCCCCTTGTGCGCGCCGCCGATGCAGAGCGTTCTGGGACGCCCTGGAGCAGCCGCGGTGCCCGATGCAGCCTCCCAGCCCGCCGATTCTCTCGCAGATCTCCGATCTGTATCTGTCCGAGGAGGAGGCGGAGGAGGAGGCGGAGGTGGAGGCGGAGGATGAGGAGGAGGAGGAGGCGGAGGAGGAGGCGGAGGAGGAGGAGGCGGAGGAGGAGGAGGAGCAGGAGGAGGAGGAGGAGGCGGAGGAGGAGGAGCAGGAGGAGGAGGAGGCGGAGGAGGAGGAGGAGGAGGAAGAGGAGGAGGAGTCGATGCTGCCCTCGTCCTGTCGGGGGAGCACAGTGCAGAGTCTCTCTGGGGCCGGCCCCGCATCCCGAGCAGTCGCCCCACGGCCCCAGGGCCCGTGGAGGGCCCGTGGAGGGCCCCAGCCGGGGGGCCCGAGGGCAGCCGCAAGACCACCCATCAACCCACCCTGGCCCAACCCGAAGGATTTGCCCTCCATTTCCGGGGGGGGGGGGGCGGAGAACAATGAGAAACCACAAGTTCAGCCATTCAGCCACGCGCAGAGGGGGGTGGGGGAGGGGGAGGGCTTCTCAGAAGCACCCCTGCTTTTTTGAAGGCGCGGGCCTTATCTATAGGTGTAGGTCCGGCGCCTTCTACGAATCGGCCTCCTTCTAAGAAGCCCTCCCCCCTCCCTCAACCCCCTTGTGCGCGCCGCCAACACACACATGGAACCTGCACCCTTCGGGTCTTCGGGTTGGTCTGGGGTGGTCTGGCAGGTAGTCGTTCCAGGGCCCCTGCCCCTCCAGGACCCATGCCATACCACTGACATCCGCGGCGTTGGAAACGAAGACTGTCGTATTTCGCACTCGTCGGCCTCTGGGGGCCCTCGCCCCGGCCTCGGGGACCGTCGAGCAACGCCTCGGCATGAAGAAAGCTTGCCCGAGGAAGAGGGGCGGGGCTTCCATGCTCGAGGCGCTCCAGAGAGGGGCCTCGCCTCCGAGAATCTCCGAGGAGTTTTGGCATATATCTCTCCCTCGGCGGCAGCCGGCGGCAGGTGGCGGAAGGCCGGCGGAAGGCGGCGGAAGCAAAGAGGGGGCGGCTCCGCCGGCGGCAGGCCGGCGGAAGGACAAGAAGCGCCCCCAAGCACAGACCCCCTTGAGTAATGACAAAAACATGACGGGAGGTTTTTCGCAGTGTTCGTCCTTTGGGGGTCCTTCTCGGGCCTCGGGACCGTCAGAGAGCGACTCGAGATGAGAAGCCGGTGCTGGGGAATAGGTTCAGACCTCGGGGGCTCGACGCAATGGAAAAATCAGGACGTCGGGGGTCTGGGAGAGATGATACCTTGTGTGGGCTCAGGGTTTCGGTGGCCCGCCACCTGTCAGGAGGGGAAGAAATACACAGACACAATTAATCGTCGATTCCCAGGAAAATATAGGAAAACATGGGAAGTGGGGGGGAAGACAAAAACCCAGAAAATATGAGGAAATATGGGGAATAGTTCTATCTGTGTGTATGTATTGTGTGTCCTGGGGCCCCTTCAACCTGTGGCCGCGCCGTTGGCTCCGGCGCGCGGCTCCTCACGTCTCGGGGGGGGGGGGCGCCGCGGGCACCGCGGGGCCCGCCGTGGGCCTGCCGGCGTCGGCGAGGCCTCGTCTAATTATACTCGGGGTGCGGGCTGGCAGAGCTTTGCCGTGGCTCTGCCGCGGGTGTCGCCGTGGCGTCGGCGCCGTCCGTGCGGGAAGCGTCGCGAGGGCATGGCGCGGCGGCACATCCAACGGGTGGATCGAAGACCGATTTCTGACCACACCCACCTCTGGATCCTCGATTCTACGATAGGCCCTCGGGGGTGGAAGTGGGTAGTTGTTCCTTCCCCTGGGGCGGGGGAACTGCCCACCTCCACCCCTGGAAACCGCTTTTCGCAAGGCACCTCGGGAAGTGGGTGTGGTCAGAAATCGGTCTCCTAGTGGAGCATCGAGGCGGCTGTAGATCTCGCCGTCTTCCGGCCTCTTGGGGCCGTCGCCGGGCCACCGCGGACCGTGGAGCAGCGGCTCAGCGCGTTTCTGATCTTGAAGGAACGGCGCCATGTGGCCTTACGTCGGGCCTGTCCCCTACAGGAGGCATATTCAAGAATAGTCCAAACATAGTCTGGGGGCGATGCTTCGATCATGTTTGGACTATTCTCGAGTATATTTTGTCTACTGTTTCATGTTTCTTCCCAAATCCGCCTCCAGGAGGACATGCCCGACCTAATCTCAGAGGTATGGTACCATGTAGTGGGATAGAGCAGCCATCCTGGGTCTTTGGCCTGACTGCCCCTGACGCGGCCCGTTCAGATTCTAGGGGTTTTGGGGCAGCTCGGCGCTGTCGGAGCAGGGGTCAACCTCCGCCCGCCCGCTCGCGCGGAAGGTAACGGACGAAGCTCGTATCATCTTGACGTAGTCGTAGCACGTCACGGAGTGGCGGTGTTTCAGGCATTGCGCGGCGAGCATCGAGTCACTCTTAATTCTGGCGTGGCAGGCAACATCTAGTTTCTCGAGCGTGGCAGGCGAAGTGGAGGGTCGACGCGGGGCGCGAGTGCGACCGTGGCGGATGATGCGCGGTGTTGCGTGCGATGGCATGGCACGGCGACAATTTTGCGTCGCCACTGTGGATCCGTAGCGGTATTTTAGGCACCGCGCGGCGGACATTAAGCCCTTGATAATTATCCGGTGTGGCTGGCGAAGCCTTGTTTATCTGGCGCGGCAGGCGGAATGGAGGGTCGATGCGCGTGCGCGTGTGAGACCGTCGCGGATGATGCGAGGCGTTGAGTGCGGTGACAGAGCACGATGATGATGAAGGTCGCCAATGTAAATCCTTCATCGGCGTGCCGAGAATGTAGTGACTCAGTGGTGCGCCATCATCTTGCGCTGCAAGGGGCAACGTCCCATCTGATGGGATTTCCACCGCCCGCTGTGTCTATGGATTTCAGCATTTCCCGCTTTAGACATACACTACCAAATAGTGGGATGAAGACCCAGGTTCAACGATCCCGGATCTCTGACCCGAGTGCTCTTGGATCTCCCCGCCAGGACTCGGGGGCGGCAAAGAGGGGGGTGATGATTAGGGGGGGGTGGATATCATGGCGGGGGCCATGATATTTCTCGGATTTCATGGCGCCTCTTCTCATTTCATTACGTCCCTGGCCCCCCCGCTGGGCCGCCCACATGCCGACGGTCATGATTTGCACCCCTCCCTCTTTGACGCCCCCCTCTTTGCCGCTCCCGAAGGACTCAAGGGGGGGAATACAGCTCGGCGCGGTCGGACAGGGGGCAAGCCCCCGCCCGCCCGCTCGCACGGACAGCAGCGGACGAAACCCGTATCAGGTTGACGCTGTCATAGCACACGCTTGGCATCGCTCGGACGTGTGCATTTTTCTTTCGGCGAGGACCATCGAGGAGCATCCTTGATCCTTCGGCGAAACATCCACGCACGAAGCCGACAAGAAACACAGGGAATGGACGTCCGAGCGATGGCCATCACGACGAATGCTGGCAGCGGCGTAGTAAGTCACCACCCACCAAACCACCCCGACCCAACCCGAAGGCCTCGATTTGCCCTCCGTTTCCAGTGGGGGGGGGGGGTCCGGGAACATCGAAAAAACACACATGGAGCCCATACCCCCCCCAACCCGAAATTCGGGTCTTCGGGTTGGGTTGGGGTGGTCTGGTGAGTAGTCAGTAAGAGATGGGTTCAGATCTGCGGCACGTCGACGGCGCCCCCCGTGGACTCGGTGCCCGCCTCGGCCGGCCTCTCCCGCGGCTGGGCCCGGGCGCCGAGGTGGACGGTGGTCGACGCGCGGCGTGCGTTCCAGAGGGGCGCCGCGGCCTTCGAGGAGCGGCCCGGGGGGAAGCGGCGGGGGGGCTTCCGCGGGAGGAGGATGATGATGATGATGATGATGAGGAGGAGGAGGAGGAGGAGGAGGAGGAGGAGGAGGAGGAATAGGAGGTTACACGTCCCTGGGAAAGCAAGGCAACCAACCATTTCGTCCATTTTCTGGCCCCTAGGGCGCCCGTGGTCTCGACGTTTGGTCGGCCGCGGGCGACGGCGGACAAGTCGAGTCGCGGTGCGTTCCGCGCGAACGTTGACATGGAGGTGCGAGGGGGAGACGGACCGCGCGCGAGAGTTGCATTACTTCTCCTAAGCCCTAAACGCCCTTTATCAAATATTAATTGACATGCTAATCAGAAAAGTGACCCGCGCTCTCCGCCCTGGGGGGCTAATCCCCAAATCCCCATTCCATGCGTGCCCGCACACGGATCTGCCCCTCCCGCATGGTGGCTAATTCCTGAACCCCCTATCCCATGCGTGCCCGCTCGAGGATCGCGCCCCTCTCGCGTGGCGGCTAATTCCTAACCCCCCATTCCATGCGTGATCGCTCGAGGATCTTGCCCCTGCCGTTCGAGGATCGTGCCCGATCCCGCGTGGCGGCTAAGTCCTAAACCCCCATCCTACGCGTGCCCGCTCGAGGATCATGCCCCTCCCGCTCGGGAATTCCCTCCCCCCCTGCCCCCTCCCCTTCCCCCTCCCCTTCCCCCTCCCCCCCCCGTGTGGCGGCTAATTCCCAACCTCCCATCCCGTGCGTGCCCGCTCGAGGATCATGCCCCTCCCGCTCGAGGATCGCGCCCCCCCCGCACACGGATTATGTCCCTCCTGCACGGCGGCCAACCCCTAAACCCCCTTATAGCATGCGTGCCCGCACACGGACTCCGGCCTTTCTGCATGGCGACGCCGCGTGCGCTCGGCGGCGGCGGCGCCGGCGGCGGCGGCGGCGTCGTCGTCGTCGTCGTCGTCGTCGTCGTCGTCGTCTCCTCCTTCTCCTCCTCCTCCCGGGAACGAAAACGAAACGAAATACGTTTTCGGCGGAATCCGTAATCCCGCTAGCCCCCCCCCAGATGGCGGCTAGTTCCTAAACCGTAAACCCCTATCACATGCGTGCCCGCTCGAGGATTGCGTCCCTCCCGCTGGAGTATCGCGGCCCTCCCGCATGGCGGCTAATTCCTAAACCAATATTCCATGCGTGCCCGCTCGAGGATGGCGTGAATTCCACGCGGGCGCGCTCGAGGATTGTCGCGATAGCCGACACAGAGTGAACTCTGGGTGGGATGTGAGCGCCGCGGCAGTGTGAGCAGCGTCGAGTGTGTTGCGGCGCTCGTGCTAGTTGACCCTAAACCTTAAGAACTAGGAGCCTATAAAGATTTGAATCCTAAAATGCCTTCAAGCGCCCTTACGCCGCCCCTTCCGCGCCCCCCCATTTGGGCACACCCCTCACGCAGATCCGTGCCCTCGGAGTGCCAGGAATGGCATTCTGGGAGCTTTTGCAAATCGCAGGAGAAGAGGCTGATCTGGAACCGGAGCCGGTCGCGCCGGTCGCGCCGGTCGCGCCGGTTGCGCCGGTCGCGCCGGTCGCGCCGGTCGCGCCGGTCGCGCCGGTCGCGCCGGTTGCGCCGGCTGCGCCGGTCGCGCCGGTTGCGCCGGTCGCGCCGGTCGCGCCGGTCGCGCCGGTCGCGCCGGTCGCGCCGGCTGCGCCAGCTGCGCCGGTCGCGCCGGTTGCGCCGGTTGCGCCGGTCGCGCCGGTCGCGCCGGTCGCGCTGGTTGCGCCGGCTGCGCCGGCTGCGCCAGCGGCGCCGGCTGCGCCAGCGGCGCGTCGATTGTGATATCAACACAGACATCACAGTCGTCATGTCGCTCTCCCGTCGTGTCCCGTGGGTGGTGTCATGATCTCGTGGCGTGGCGTGGCGTGGTGTGGGGTACGGTGTGATGTGGCGTGATGTTGTGTGGCGTGGTGTGTGGTGTGGTGTGTGCGTGTGTGTGGTGTGGTGTGGTGTGTTGTGGTGTGTGTGTGTGTGTGCGTGTGTGTGTGCGGTGCGGTGTGGTGCGGTGCGGTGCGGTGCGGTGCGGCGTGGTGTAGTGTGTAAGTGAGGTCGGTTGCGACACCATCACAGAGATCGCACTTGCCATGTAGGTGCCCCATGGGAGGTGTCATGAGGACGTGATGTCGTGATGTCGTGCCTTTCTGCGGGGGGGATGCCCGGGCAGACTCCTGCCGGCCTTAGTCAAAATGAAGAACACGAGAGGCCGCGGGGGCAGGAATGGAGGAGGGGGAAAGGAGGGCCGAGAGCGAGGATACCACATCAGGAGCAACCTTTTTGACATCGGATCTCGAATGTGTGCGTCGCGAGCTACGCCTCGTAGTCGCCGACGCATCGCCGGGCCGGCCCGTCGGCTGCGCCGGCGCGCACCGCCGCGGGAGGAGCAAGAGGAAACGATGCGGTACTGCGTGCGGAAGTCGCATGCAGAAGGCGCTGGAAAAGTCCCCGGCCGCACCCCGCCCTGCAGCGGATGGCGCGCGGAAGCGTCGAGTAAACAGAAAAACTGCGTCAGCAGCCCGGGTGTGCGTGCAACCCCGGGTGCCTTTCTGCGAACGCAGCGGCGGGGAAAACGACATGCTTGAGCAGCTCGGGCGTGCGTGTAATCCCGAGTGCCTTTCTGCGGGAGCATGCCCGTGGAGACTTCTGCCGGCCCTCGTCAAAATTAAACGCGAGAGGCCGCGGGGGCAGGAATGGAGGAGGGGGAAAGGAGGGCCGAGAGCGAGGAAACCACATTAGGAGCAACCTTTTTGACATCGGATCTCGAATGTGTGCGTCGCGAGCTACGCCTCGTAGTCGCCGACGCATCGCCGGGCCGGCCCGGCGGCTGCGCCGGCGCGCGCCGCTGCGGGAGGAGCAAGAGGAAACGATGCGGCACTGCGTGCGGAAGTCGCATGCGGACGCGTGGTGACCATAAGTCGGTGCCCCGCGCGCGGGCAGGTACAAGCCAGCAACAAAAACAGTTGTGCATCGCTCAGTCTGAGTCTGAGCGCAACGCGGCCACGCAAGCAGAGAAACGCGGCAGCGAATCGCGAGGCGTGGAGGGTCACTCAGCTGCGCCGGCCAGCGTTTCTGACCTCGGCCACCTCGTGCAAGAGGACGGTGCAAGTAGCCTTGTCCATGTGCTGAACCATAAACTTCAGGCGATTCGTCACACGGAAAGTTTGTTCACAGATGGAAGTGTTCGTGCCTCCGAGCAACTCCTTGTTCTGCGGCAGATCAGGGTGGCAATTGTTGAGGCACCACTCGTCCGTGTGACCGGAAGAGTGCAGCTTGTCAGTGATGTAATGCATCTGCGGGTACGCCAAGGCCGTCGCCATCTCCGACTCCGCCGCCCTGGCCGTGGCGAACTTGCGCACGTGGCAAGCGTCGTCGTGGACGACGACCCGCAAATTGGGAACGACTTGGCGAAGTTCAGCTAGAAAGAAATACCTCTGCGACAAGCTCTCGGCCCCGTAGTATTCTTTCATGTGCAGGATATGGCCGTTAGGGAGGCAGGCCACAAGCCAACCGCCAGACGCATGACCCTTGGGTTGCCAGCTGCGCTGCTCCTTGTGAGTCTTGCAGGACACGCTGTCCAAGTCAGCGCTGCTGGATCTGTTGGGGCAATAGTTGGCGACTCCCCCAGACCAGTACTTCTGCAAGGATCTGGGGCAAACCGCATCCGATCGCTCCCATCGCTTTGGCGCCTCGGCGCCGAGCGTCTCCCAATCTTTGCGCCCTGCCACGGCCACCTCGTAGTGTGCTTCGCCGCCAGCGTCGGTCAAAGCCTGTGTCTTCCGGTGGGCGAGCACGACGGGCGGCGCCGGAGCTTTGCCGCGCGCGCGCGTGGCGCATGGCGCGCAACAGCGCGCCGTGCAAAACTTTCGCTTGAAAGCCCGGGTTTCCGGGCACGCGATGGCCGTGAACTTGCCGAGCGCTTTGCACTCCAACATGGTCGCCAGGGGCCGCCCGCAGGCCCTCCATCTCCGGAGCTTCGCGCTCCCGTCGAAAACGATCAGGTGAAGCGGGCCCGACGCCGTGCGGACGCGGCGGCTGAGCATGTAGCTTTCGTACCACGTGCTGACCCTCGACGCCAAGGCATTCGCGTCGAGAGACAGGTCCAGGAGGCCCGCTTCGACGGCGACTCCTCGTTCCGCGAAGTATTGCAGGCTGCGCACGACAACCCGCCATGCGAACCAGGCCTGCCTGATCTTATTCTTGCTCTTCGCCGGGACAACGTGCGCTGCGCTGACCCTCTGGGCGGCGGCCTCGTGCACGGCAGCTTCGCCAGTAAAGGATGCGAAGTGGCGGGCGAGTCTCTGAGTGAACTGCCGCAGCCACGCCGCTGTGACGCCCCAGCTCTGCGTCGGGAAAAAGTAGACGAGCTCCTCCTGAGCGGGCCATTGCCAGAAGTGGCCCTCCCTGCCGTCCACGATGCGGGAGCAGAAGTTGTACCACACGTACTTGTCTTCATTTGCACATTTGGGATTGCGGCACCGGAGCGGCGCGTGCTGCACCTGGCGCCAACCGTCGACGTCGAGCAGGGCTGCCGTGACCGTCCTCGGGTACGCGTGCATGGCGCGAAAACACACTGGGCAATCCTTCTGCGGGTGCTCGACGTGCCCCTGCGGGGCTCGCATGCCGGCGCACGCCAGGGCGCGTGCAATCTCCCCGTACCGACCAGCGACGAGCGTCGCAACGTCAGGGCAAAATGCTTCCAGAGCGGCTTGGACCCCCGCCGCCGTGACAGGTTCTGTCGCCATCTTGCGAACCAATGTGGACGCAGCGTTCGAGTAGTGAGGCCGTGCGACGCGCGAAAGACATGCAGTCGTGGGCCCGCCCCTGAGCCGAAAGGATACGGGAAGCGAACAATTGGCAGTGATGATGATGATGATGATGATGTCGCGCGTTGCCGAGAATTCCCAGCTACATGTCGTTATGGATAACAGTTAGGGTCCTTGCGAAGTTAGGTTTGAAGCCCCGT